TCCCACAGGACTCAATCGCCTGCTTCAGCTCTCCCTTTCCTGGAAAAAACTCCAAACGAGACGCAATCCGATGCAACTACGGACGAAGCTCTTCAGCCACGTCTGGCCCCACTTCCAATTCCCAAGTTCCGAGGACAACTGTGGGAATGGGATCATTTCTGGAGCATCTTCGAAGCCGTCATCCACAAAAGCAACATCAGCAGGATCGAAAAGCTTAGCTACTTGCTGGAAGCCCTTCAAGGACCAGCAAAGGATACGGTGAAAGAGCTTCAAGTCACAGCGGACAACTACGACGTTGCCATCCAACTTCTCCGAAGGAAATACGACAACCAAGAAGCAGTCATCAGCCAACTGCTTCAACATCTCCAGGATATGCGACCGAGAAGCGCTACAATCGCAGACCAAATGCACACCCTCGACAAGATTCTCCCCGTTGTGGCTCAGCTAGAGCAGAAAGGAGAGAATACCAACACCCAGCAAATGCGGCGTACCATCCTGTCAAAGTTCAACGACAGAATCCAACGGTCCGTGTTGAGGAAAAAAGCGGAATCGGCAGATGGCTGGTCGACGAAGCAATTGCTAAAAGATCTCCAGGATTTCTTCGAAGTGGAAGCTCAGATTCAAAATATGCGAGGGACCATGGAAAACAAATGAAAGGGAGACCGAGCATAGCAACGCACAGCACGTCGACAAAACAGCCAGATCTGCGAACAACAGAAGCATTAGGACATTCCCGTGCTTCTACTGCAACGACACCAACCATACACCAAGATCCTGTCCGAAGTATACCACAATCGAGCAGCGACTGGAAGTGATCAAGCGACGGAATCTCTGCCATAACTGCGGATCAGGAGACCATCGCGCCAAGGACTGTACCGGTGGAGCATGCCGACAGTGCAACGAAAAGGGTCATCACACCTCAATCTGTCGGAAAGCTCCCAAACCACAAGCATGGACACCGAAACCAGCAAGGAATGCTCTTCCAAAGGCTCAACCAGAGGCACCAGCACCAAAGAAGAAAGCAGTGTCTCAAAACTTCGCCGCGGTCGTAGCCAACCAGAGCTCTACATCCTGCAGGATCGGCGACCACGTCGTCCTACGCCAGCAAGACACTCCACGCTCGTCGGAGCACTCAGTGGACCTTCTCGTAGGACAAGCAAGAGTTTGGAACGTTCGGACAAAGGAATTCGAGGACGTTCACATCATGATGGACACAGGCGCAGACCAGTCGTTCATCACGCGCAACTATGCAGACCACTTAGGACTCGGAAAGACGGGTCAACTGCAATTAACCATCCACACGTTTGGCAATAGCTCTCCGACAGAGCAATCTTGCGAGACAACCCAGGTCGAAATCCAACACAATTTTGAACTGGCAGAGACCTACTATATAACAGGAGACGTCAAGCGGACGGAACTCCACCACGAAGATCGCCAAGTATCTGCAGATCAATATCCAGCTATCAATTTCGCCACAGATTCAAGACCTTGTGAGCTCCCATTTTACTGGCTGTGGCGATCTCTTCACGTTGTTCTGTTGGCGATCACTTACCAATGTGCGACCAAGGAATGCCGACGAAACGAGCCTTCATCCGGAAACTCGGTGATTTCAAAGATTGAGATTACCTGGTCACTGAAAGGAACAGTATGCTCCTGAGGGCACGAATGTACAGCTCAACCAACGGTTAATCGTTACACGGCTGCGGATGACGAGCATGGAGGCGAGCGCGCAATGGGACCGGTACTGGAGCCCTTGGAATCTCAGGGTGCGAAGGAGTTCCACGGCAGGGTCAAGCGTGCGTTGAGGAATCCTCGACACGTCACAAGGGGGGGGTCGTATTGGCCGCTGGAAGGAAGAGATCGGGCCGAATTGATGCAGTAGGATCATCACTGTCGGAGGACAAACATCAAGGATCGAATCGATGCCATGGAGCCAGAGGACTTCCAATAACAGTGTTATTCCGCCCACACAGAATTTGATTATTTCAGAAGCGTGCGCGTAGTACTCCTTAGTGTACTTTTTCGGAGTAATATAAACGATACAAGTTAAAGAATCCAAAATTCGCACGCTTTCCAAGAGATAGTGTTTATCTTTCAAATGAGTCCTCGAATCTGAAGGGATGTGAAGCACAAGGCGCATCCCAGAGTGGGCCCAGTTGATTGCGCGAGCTGCAACTACGGCTCTCTGAGAAGGAATCCCAATTCAGGAAAATCAAGAGGATCTGAAAGGGTTCAGTTGTGAAATTACAGGGAGGAGTACACTATTAAACAAGAAACGCAGTCTTCAGCGACCAATTCATAAGCATGTAACCTTTAAAGTTGAGGAACGCTAAACACGTAATTTCACATGAACCCCTTTCAGAATCCTCTTGATCTTGGAAAGAAAAAAAGCACGAGGATTTCGAATCTGCTCCCACTTCAGTATGTAATCGCTCCTGAAAGGAGCTATAGTCGTTGGGAAATAGTGCTAATGCAGCGAAAAAGTACCTTTCGGCGGTACTCGGGCAAAAATCCTCAACGTGGCCATTTTTTAAATAGTGAACGTATTTAGCAGTTTTAGTAGCCTATAGAAAGAGCAAATCTTCTAGTTTATGATGACGTATTAACTTTTCAGATTGCATGAGTTTGAACGGAGTTATGGCTTGGAAAGCGTAAAAACTCGGGCTCACCACGAATTTTCCTCATTGATTGATCCGAATTTCACATAAATTTTTGTAATTTAAACACTGATTAGAAGAAACGCCCTTCAAAACTACCATATCTGCCTTCAGATTGGAAAATTCGTCATGATTGAAGAAAGTTATGATCATTTGGATGTGTCCAAATTTCAATAGTAGATAAGTTGCTCCAAGGTCAAAGGATAAACGGATTCAGTCACACGCAGCTTAAGGCGCGCTGCAAGGCTGCTTTCAAGCGAAAGGGGTACGTGTAAATTGAGAACCATACTCTGTGTAATACTGAAATTTGGTAAGTCTTGCGAAGGAAATGAATAAAGAAGAGATGTTGTCATAGTATGCCATTTTTAGTGACTAGTTTGTTGCTTTTTGCTCCGTTTCTCGTCTACTTATTTGATAAGACTCATATAATAATGATCATTCTTCGACTTTTTTTTTGCTTTTGTACTTCTTGAACGAGTTTTTTGGTGAAGCCTGGGGTGGCAGGCTTTTTTATGAACAGTTTTGGGGGAGAATCAAACAGTTCTTTTCATAGTTCGGCTTGTGAACAGAGGGTGATTTAATGGACTCTGGCATCTGAGGGAGGTGAAAAAGGGCACGGGGGATTTCAAATTTTCCATCGACTGTTCGAATTGACCTGCACGGACACCACACCAGCGTCAGCCCTATCGTTGTTACTTGTGGAATTTTTTGTACGACTCATGAGTGACATTTGATACGATCCACCTTTTATTTGCGTTGAAGTTGCTATCATGTCAGTGTGCTCTAGTGTGTAATTACCCACAGTTTTGACTATGTGGCTGAAGAATGATGAATATCGATCGCATTATTACATCACCTTCTGTAGCTACTCACATTAGTACGACTTGTTAGTTACGTTGGTATGACGAAAATGAAAGTGAAGGGTTCACTGAGGCTTACAACGAAAACGGAAAATCAGGAAGTAAGCGAATAGCATTCTAAACAAGCCGGTACAATTCTTTCTGTGAGTGTTGCGGGTGAGGAAAGAAGCAATCAAAGCGCTGGAATAGGGCAAAGCATGCCATCAATGCGGTGAAGCAAGTACGTCACTGCTTGCACGTTTACAGGGGACATCCAGCCGACGCACTCACACGATTAAAACAAAGCCTAGCGCTCTTTGTCGCGCATTTTGAGCTCGAACGAGGACAATTGGGGGAATGGTTCGATCCAACTCGCACTCTTTACAGTCTGTTAGCATCTAGGCAGTGTTGCACGTGATGTTACCTCACTCAATGGCCTGCTCTTCTTGAACCACCACCGTGTCAAGAACATCGAAACAATTGAGGAGAGCTCCATGTATTGAAAACCGGGAAAAAATCAATACGAAAAAGACGAAAGTAAATGTGCTTTCGAATGTGTTGCGTTCGAATGTGCTGAATGGCGCCCTTTGGCCTCCTGACGGTGGAGCGCATTTGCTCACGGTGAAGAGGCGTCGAACGGGGAATGTGAAAATTCGAGTTTTTCTTTTTACATTTCAGGTAGTTCGGAAGATTCAGGTGGATTTTGGATCGACGTGGCTCCTCCTTCCTAACGAGTGCTCATTTGTTCTCAAACACTTCGGAATGAATAAGTTATTAGGCAAAAAATAAAATTGCAACACAATTTTTACACTCCTCTTTCTAGGGCTATAACTTCCTTCATATTCGAGCTTCTGCGCCGAAGTGATTTGATTTGGAAAATTCAAATTATTCTCTCTCCAACCATGGTAAAAATTCTTCGAAAGTTAATTTAATAAAAATTTAGTACGTTGTTACTTTTTTCTGTGCAAATGCGACTTTTTGACCTTCAAACGATCATAACTTCCTTCAAAGTCATTCATTTGGGAAGCTGACAAACTACAGGATTCAAGCTTTCTAACGAGCACCCAAGCGTTCCTGAAAGATCAGTAGTTCAAAAATTAGTCCCGTTGTTACTTTTTTGGGGGTTTGCGTTACTATTTTTTTGGAACCGCGACTTTTTTACCTTCAAACGATCATAACTTCCTTCAAACTTTTATTTTGAGGGGTATTCTTCAAGCCATTTTCTCGAAAACGCGAGTTTTCTTAGGTTTCACTGCCCGTAACTTCTTGGAAGACCAATTTCATGTTTAATTTAGGATGTGCTAGAAAGCTTCGAGCATGCGCTTGCACTACATCCCTTGCCTTGGTGCGCGCCACGCCTCGGGCGCCCTTCTCGCTGATTCATTTGAAAGCTCATTTAGAGGGAAGCGTGGTTTATAGATGCTCTAGTATCAGATCAGTAGGATATCACCAAGAATCCCACTGCCGGCCACCGAGAGAGTACGACCCCCCTCCAAGCTCAACTGAGTACGACCCCCCCCGTTGTTACTCGTAACAACGTAGGGTTGACCCTGGTGGGGGTGAGGGCAGCCACTTGATGCCCCCCCCCCCATACTGGATGAGACCCCAAAAACTATTAGAAATAAAAAATGACGGGAAAACCACGATGCGATTCCCTGCGTGAGCATCTCAATACAAAAGAATCGGATACCAAAGAAAAAAGCACAC